TAGTGTCCACATCATGGAAAGCAATAGTTCTGCACTACTCTACCTGAGGATGCATTTCAAATATCAGTTTTATGGACTGCATTTTAAGAAGGACAGTGAGAAACTGGAGTATGTTCAGAGATGATCAACCGGGAGAGTGTTTAGATGGTTTTTTCTTCCTATTTTCCATTGTAGCGCATGTCTGTCATCATTATTACTGGAAGAACCTTATTTATACTCCTGGTTTTTCACCCCATTACCAGAAACTGTTCTCTTAGATTTTGTACATAGATTTAATATTGGTTCTGTCAGATAGTGAAGGATATAGATCAGAAACAGAATGAATGTTGAATGAATAACCCTTCAGGTCTCCTTTCCATTATTTAATTTTTTTCTACAGGCAGTTCTGTCCACAGGTATAATGTTTGAGTTTTCTGTCCTGACTTGCACGATTCATGAATTTAATAGAATATATTCTATTACTTTTATTACATTATTATATATTTTAACTAACAAGAGTAAACCTTTTCCCCCATTGCTTTTTTTAAGGTGGTTCCTGGAATAAGCCAGGCTCCTGAATTTCAAAGCTATTTGACTTAGCTAGTTTCAAATCAGAATCAGCTTTTCTTATTCGGGAGTAGTATTGTGTCATGTTCGAATTTGCCACAGTCAACTGCACTGCACATAGAAATGGAGCTATAAATTTTGATGTAGCACAGTTGTACAAATGGTTATGGAAGTGACCATTTTTAATTGGCTTAGTATTATTACGTCTCAATCAAACTGAGTGTTAGATCACATTGCAATGGTGTACAGTATTCTAGAACTTAACTGATAATGGATGTATGTGTGTATACAGGATTTATAATGCAAATTACCTTGGACATACAAATAAAAAACTGATTCATGTGCTGATCTGGTAAATAATCATTTATGTCCAGACATAAATGACATCTGTCCAGATATCTTGCTGAATCATAAAGAAAGATGCAGTCCTATTGCTAGTAGATGCCATCTAGATGACCATAGGAGAAGCTGGAGTCACAGCTCTGACTTTCGAAAACCGCACTGGGGTTGCAGCTGGCATGCCAACTTTGGAGTGCCTTCTCTCCTTTCTCATTTGGCACACTTCTTTTCAGACCAGCAGTGACTTCTAAGTCAGAAGACTGACAGAAGAAGAGGAAACATTGGCAGAGGAAACATTTTGGGGACAGCAAGAAGTGAGGCACCACCATCCTATGAGAAATTCTGGCAGTGTTTCTGGTTCCTCTTCCTTGTAATTGTAAAATACTTATAATTACGAGTAGCTAAGTGTTTTACTAGGTGGGGAAAAAGTGAACACAATCCTTGCCTTCACACTTCTCTTCCTCTTCATTGGATACCCTTCGTTCTATTAGATGCCTCTAGTTCATTGAGTTTAGAGGGGTACAGTCAACCCCATTGGATCACACTGTAAGAAAGTATAGTATTTCTGAGTTCAGATGTAACTTTAAAGTATGGTTTATGTGTATGTGCAAACAGCAGTGAGTCTTAGGCTCATTCATTTCCTTCTCTCCTTCCCCTTATATACAGTGAGTGGAAACTTCTAATTATGAAGCACACTATAATTTGCTATTAACTTTGAACCCAGTAAACTATGGTTTGCACAAACTATAGCTTTCCTGAAGACATAATATATTTGTTGGTTAGGGCTTCTGTAGAACAATACAATTAAAATAAAGATAACAATGCTGATACAATAAAAATTACAAACAGCAAACAATTTTTTTTGCCATCAAGTGTAATTAGAAGTTTCCAACTGCACTTTCGAAGGGGAGGGTACAGGGCTAAGAGGAGGCTGGACTGTATATACCATCAAAGGTAGTTCTATAGTATGTTTGAACTAGTACTGTTACTTGTCATTTGATTTCATTTTCTAGTATTCTTTCTGCACTTCCTGTATATTAATGGTTTCTCCTCCCAGAATAGCAAACTTGATTTTAAAAAATGTATTTATATAATTGTACCTTTGTCAACATAAATCTAAAAAATGCAAAACCCATATTGGGCATCACTCCTCCACACAGTTACATAAAAAGAAGCAGCACATTTACATATAGATGTGAATACATTTCCAAGATTACTCATTTTGCTAAAATATAGTGTCCATCAATCTAGGATCCTGGTGAATAATACCTTATTGTGCTCAATAACTATTCATGTAGTCTTTTAATCATTTTCACTTTCTGTTTTATAGTAGGGATATATAAGTAGGGGCTCTGCCTGTTTCAGCACCTGGAACAGATGAGGGAGGCCTTAGCCAGCATGATGGATCTCCTTACCAGAGATCAGAAAACAGTTCTGAATTTATCCTTTAAATATTCATAGTTTCTTGCAGTGACATGATGGAGATATAAAAAGAGAAAGTTATTTAATACAACAATGTTTATGCATTTCGGCAAGAACAAAGCAATCATCCATGAAACTGAAATAGGATCTGCATTTAGTTTTTTTAAGAATCAAAACTAACATGCTTCAGGAGTAAGAAAGATGTTAGAGAGTAAATGATTACATGCCTGTACAAAAAAGATTATGCTGTTTGGTTTTTCCATTGAAAAAGGGGGCACCTGGATATGAAGCAGTTAAAAGCACTAGCCCTGAGCTATACCCCCAGTAATCTTGGCATTACTAATACTTACTTGCTTTCTTGTATTATAACTGTATTTATCAGTGTATTTTCTGGCAATTACAAAAACTACAATTATGTTTCAATTTGCATGATTTTAACATGATTTTATTCATATTTTTAAACTTTGCCTTAACCTTTCCTAAATGCTGCAACTTCCTCTAATGATTAATGGAATAAGTAGACTGTAGAGGGGAAGACAACTATGAGATGGATTGATTTCATAAAGGAAGATATAGTCTTGATTTTACAAAAACTGACAGGCCTGTCAAGGACAAAGGACAGGAAATTTTGGAGGGCATTCATTCACAGGATCACCATAAGCCATAAAGGAAATGATGGCACATAACAGTGTAACAAGAAAGATGGAAGATCCAAAGTAGCTGATCTCGAACAAACAAATAAAACATGGGCCATGATGGCAGTGAAACCCCACCCTCTGACCTCCTCCTGAGTTTTCATTAAGCGTTGTGCACACACCAAACTCATCTTTATAAATATAGCACTGCTAACAAGACAAAGAGATTTTCCAGCTGTAGAATTTAATAACGAAATAACAAGTGATGTCTGCAATAAAGCAGACAGTACTCCTGTTCAGGGTTCCAGATGTCGGGAAAGCCTCAATCGCAGCCGCAACAAGGATAACCAGGTTCAGTTAGGAAAGACTCCTTTCGCCTTGAACCTCAGCAGTTTCACTGAAAGATCACCCCAGGACCCCTACCGTTACTTATGACAGCATGCTACTGGGTAGTGGTTCTCACCGTCAACTACAAAATCACAGCCCATATACAGACACTTTTATAACCTGCTAGTCATGTACACCAATACAGAGAGTTAGGTTTCCAGATAATGTTGGTACAATAGCATCTTGATGTCTTTAGGCATGACATAATGTTCTAAACGGATCAGAATGACATCTTAAGGCAACAGCAACGCTAAACAGTGACCTGACTTGAATGCTGGTGCCTTGTGAGAAAGAGGTACAGGTTTGATTTTATAACACAAGAGGCACATATAAGCAAATTTTCTATCAGGATTTATTTGAAATTTCCCAACACAGATAACCAACCACAAAGTTCCATTTTATTTCTTACACACAATTTTCTCTTCCCACCAGCCCAATATGCAGTGACCACTGCATATGTACAATCTTCATCAGTTTGGGCTGGTTTTTTTTTTTTTGTCCCCCTCCCCTTTACAGATTATTTTATTTATTAAAACAGTATTTGTACTTCTACAAATCTTGTAGGTACCCTATGTCTAGGGATGCCTCAAATGCATGATACTCCTTTGGCTAGAGCACCCATGTACACAGATTGCAAGAATTCTCACACATTCGCTCAGAATTTAGTTTCAGCAAGTCCAATGAGACTTACTCTTAGAAAAAGGCACAATATGAGTTTCATGGTCATATGAAGAGGAGTGCTTCCATTTGGATGGTTTTTAGGGCTTCCAATCAAGAGGTATTAAGCAGCTCTTCCATCTTTTCTGGATTTTTTTCTTTTTCCGGAAAAGAAATGGAAAATCCAGTGGGAAAAGCACAGAATTGAGTCCTAGGTGAAATTCAGCTTCCATGCTTTTATTATCCAGAAATCTAAATCTATTTAAAAAAAAATTAAGTCCCTGGTGTATAGTGCTAAGATATATAAAAACCCAGGTACAGCTCCACCCTGGAGCATTAAACTCACGGGTTGATCTTGGGCCAATTGGCTAACCTAGTAGGGCTATCACGTGAATAAAATAAAGATGGGATGTATCATTAAATCACATTCATATCCCTTTTTTTTCTTTTTCCAAGGAACCGAGTAGCTTACATAGTTTCCCATTTCATTTTACTCTCACAAGAACAACCCCAATGAGCTTCATGTCCAGCGGGGACATGACTGGCTAGAACGGACTAGAACTCGGATCTCCTGGTCGCCAGTCCAACACCAACAGGATAAAATGGAGCTGTCTATGTAAACTGCCTTGGGCTCCTCACAAGAAGACAAAGGCGGGCTATAAATGCAATACAATAATAGTAATAGCTACGCTGCACTGCTCTCGTGTTTATCGCAGTTTTACTTGGGTATGTCGTCATTCCGCATGGAAGTTGCTTTGCAACTTCTGAGGGGCGCAGTCTCTCTTCCGCATTTCCCGGGCTCGGCAGCCAGCCAGCGGGGCGAGATTCGGCCGTCCCCCGAGCTCCGCGCACGCAACCGGCCCCTCTCTCAGCCAAGCCCTTCGGACCCTTCGGCTTAGCGCCACGCTACTGAGCGACCGGGGCGGGGCCGCGCTCGGAGGGAGACGAAAGCCGAGCCTGGCGCAACCCCACTCACTCACTCGCTGGGCAGGGCCTGGGAGCGCGACGTCATCAAGCGCTGCCTCCGCCGCTGAAGCCGGTAGGAAGGCAGGGCGCGGGGGTGGGCGAAGAGAGACTCGCAAACAAAAGTCGTTGACGGCGCGTCAGGTAAATGAGGGCACGCGCTGCCGGGTTGCTGTTGCGCGGGTTGCGGCGGGGCCTGCTTGTGACTGGGTGGCCTTCGGCCGCTTCCATCTCTGGCACGCATGGGGGCGAAGCGGCTGGAGGAAGAGGGGAAGCATTGCAGGAGAGAGCTGCCTTCCCTTGCTCTAGTCATAATCACCCCCCGTGTGTATGCTTGTTTCTGTCCTCCCCTCTTCCAACATCTTGAGGTGAAATTCCCAGGCCAGGGATTTCCCTCCTCCCATTATTCCACCATCGCTTTGTGCCGAAGAAGTACGGAGGCGAAGGCAGTGGCTGCCCTTGCTTGCTGTCCCTTGTTCCCCATTTCAGGAAGGTACGGGATTGGGCCCACAATGCTTCCGAGAGCGCTCGCAAGCAGCTGTCTTTGTCAGCCACCTACCTCATCCTCTCACTGGGTTTTCTCAGTTACCCTCCGAGCAGCACAGACAGGAGGTGAGCGAGGCAACACTTGCTCCGTGCAGAAGCAGCCACTGCCTCCGCAGTTGCCCAAAGAGATAATGCCACTGCCTCAGCTCGGCTGTGCCCTCTCCCTGCGCCGCGCCTTCCGTCCACCTGAGCGATGCAGTAGCAAGGAGTGCGTTTGGCCCGCGAGAAGGTGCAAAAGCAACTCATTCGCCTTCTGCCTGGCGCTGCCCGGTGCTGGAGAAAGGGAGCGAGAAGGGTGTTTGCTCCCTCGCCCTCCTCGCTGGGTGCTGTGGAGGATTAAGCTGGTTCGATCTAATCCTCTCCGCCAGCCAGTCGGAGGGGAACCCAGGGCATGAGGGGAGCGGAGCTGTTCCTTTGACGATCAACCCTTGATGCTGCACTGCCTGGGCGAGGACAGAGGGCAAGAGGGAAGAGATGCCCGCTCTTTCTAAGGAGTTGTGGGTGCCCGATTCTCCCTCGCTTCAGCGAGGGTGAACGGGGCTAGGAACCGTGGCAGCGGCCTTTCCTCGCTTGCGGACTTCCTGCCTGACCTCAGAAGCGGCAAAGCTCAGAGGATGAGGTGCGGAAGGGGAGAGGAGGAGCCGGGGGCGGTTCCTGGGTGGGAATTCCTCACTCCTGCGTGTTTCTCTCCTGTGTTGACGGGCAGAGGAGGAGGGATCGCAGCCCTCTGTTGGCACTAGCCAGCCTCCTGATGCTACTCCTCCAGCAACCTCTGGCACTTTCACATAGAGTGCGAGGAGGAGTCCCTCTTTACACCTTTCTTTGCTAGATAGAAAAGTATCCTCTTCCCCTCATCAGGTTCGTATGTTGCATTTATAGGGAAACCCGTGCAACATTCCATGACTGTAATAATTATACTGCCCAGAACATGTGTTAGCAGTGTATGTTTATTCAGTAGCAAACTAGCCAAGACCTTGTCCACATGCATGTTATGGATGCAGAAGACTATTGTGTGAAGGCCAAAGTATGTCTGAGGCACACTTTTATTAATAAACATTGTGAAATCAATTCAGATTCCATTTTTGTTCTTTTTTTCCTTCACCCAAATATATGTATCTGTGAGTCTAACCAATAAAATGCTACACACACACACACACACACAGTCCTTAGGGCAGATTAAAAATAATATTTGTGGTGACTTGTTGGGGATGATGGTATAAGTTCTATTTACCCACTAACCTTAAAAAAAGACGTGTGCAATGTCTTGTGTAGGAACACTATTTCTATTGACCTGAGGGAATGAGATAGAACTTGAGCATAATCATGGACAAATATATTATCCTGTCCTCTTTACTCACAGAACATAGGTGAACTTGGTAGGTTAGTCATACATGCTCAATCTTGTATGGTACTTTGAGAACAGATTCTACCAAATTCAGATAGAGCTTGCATACCAATTAGATGGATTAGTCTTGGTTGCACATTTGCAATATGATTGGTATCATTAGGAAGAAACTAATTGTATAATGTAACAAACAGAGTTATCATGTGACCAAGGGATCTAAAGCCTCCATGCATCCCTACAGTAAATGCCAGCTAATTTAATAATTAGTTTGTTTGTTTATTTCAAAGCCTCAATCCATGGTTTCATATTTAGCCCATTTGGCTTAACCATGCTGAAGTATTCTTTATTATATAATCTGGTTTCAAATGTTGGTTGCCAGAAGTGGTTGAAAAGAAATCCATGGTTGCCTATTTGTCATTGTTGAGTTGTAAATTAATTGCATAGAGCAACCTTCCTGCATTTCACAAGAATTTTGGCTCAAATGTTTGGTTTCCCAGTACTTTGCAAAATTTCAAAGTCAGTCTTTCCTTCTTCTATTTCTTCTGATCTTACATAGTGAATTTTAATTAAATCTTTATTATTTTACAGTTTATTAAATTCAGATTCTAGCTCTATGCATATACAGTAGTTAGTGAAAAGAATTAGTATTTCCAACCTGTAGATACAAAGTTCAGGACAAATATAATAGTAACTACATTTGAGATATAAAAGACAGGTATTTGCTATTACTTAAAACATTTTAATTATGTAATTAGAATAATATTCATTATTCAAAACTATCTGATTGATTTGGATTGCAATCTTATATTACTTGCTTTTGAGTACACATTTATAAGACTATAACAATGCTATCAGTGCAATTGTAGTCATGCCTGCTCAGAGGTATGTTCCACTGAGTTTACTTTTAGATAAATAGATTTACTTGAGAATATTGTGTTTTTTTCTTAGGCTTCTGAATTTGATTAATGCCTCAAATCTTAATATAGTCAATTTCTGGCAAAGCATAGAAATATATTCTACTTCTCCTTGGTGCTATAGTGAATCAGGGAATAAGTGAGGGCAACATAAAGAATTACTGCAATCTATCCCTTGGTTTTAGATTGATTTAACAAGATCATGTTGCCTGAAAATCAATTGCCAGTGGATTTGTTTTCCTAAAATGAGTAACATCATCTGTTTAATTCAACCTAGAACTGGTTTTGTAACATCCATACTTTTCTAGGAGATGGTAATTGCTAGGAAAACTGATCTAATTGTGGATGAGAATCACTGCCCATACACAACAAATCATTGCCTTGGAAGATTGTCACTGAGACTTTCCAAGGTTGAGGGTTCTTGTAAAGAAAAAGGGAGAGTATAAAGCAGTTGTACATCATGCTCACATGGCTTTAATTTAAAAACTGAATGCATTATTTCAGTATATCCAGTCCATGGATCTACGTGCATGGCTGTGCTGTTCTTTAGACCACACTAGCATTCAAGGCTAATGGACTGGGGTGGGCTGGGCAGTCTGGAGCTTGATGTGCAGAGAAAGTGCCCGGTTCAATTGGTAACATCTCCAAATTAGACTAGGAAAGAATCCTTCCTGAAACTCATGAGAGCCTCTGCTGGTCTGTGTTGACAATACCGAGCCAGAGGGACCAATGGTCTGGCTTAATACAAGGCAGCTTCCTGTGTCTGCATGTGTAGTTTTCTGGGTTGGTCATGAGATGTTCTGGGGGAAGAAATGAATCTTGGAGTGGCTAAATCAGAATATTAATCTGCCACTGCCATATTTTTGTGGGATTAAGATTGGATCATTTACAGATTTTTTTCCTGTGGTTTTTCTTTCTCTGCCTTTTTGTGTGTTCCATTACACAACCACTAGGGGGCATTGTAATATTGCAGAATTGTGGAACCATGCAAGGCTTTCATTCCAGTATTTCCTGATAATACCAGATTTTTCTTCATTTAAAAAAAGTCATGGGCATTATTGCAAAGGATTGAGGTTGATGATATTGTGGAGGTTGACGATATTATGTAAAACACCTGCAAACTACCGTGAGCGAGAAGCCACAAGTACACAATAAATGCTTTCTGTAGAAAGACTCATATTTGTCTGGACCCTATGTAAAATTCCATGTTTCGGGTGGGGTAACTGCACATTAAAATTTTCATTTTGAAGTCTCCTTTGGTGTTTTTGCTGCAACATGTTAACAGAGTGACTTGTCTGGGAATCATGTTAAATTTATTTTATAGGAAATTGTTAGATATAAAATTATTTCATGACAAATATACTTGCAGAAAAATCTAGAAACTTTTGCCACCCCATAGCTTTTGCCACCCAACAGAGCAGTACCTATTGTCTCTCCATACAGAAAATGGGTTGCCACCCGAAGGTAACCTTAGCGTGGTGCCTGCCCTGTATGCAGCTGGAAGAGATTGTGCCTGTTTTCTCTAGCAGTAACTCCATTCAAGATTAGATGTAGTTTGGAGTCTCCATTTCTATGTGCACGTGAACTGGCAGCAAATACTGAGTAACTGTTAATAACAGTAAAGAACTGTTATTTTTTCATTTCTATTCCCTTTTTATGCTGCCCAGAGAATACAATAAATAAATAAATAAATAAATAAATAAATAAAGCAGGCTCAAAAAGTTTTTCTTTTTTTGTTTTGGATTACCTCCCCACCTATCACCAGAAAATTTAAAGACAATATTAGTCAGAGGTCACACTAAAAATTAGTGTTTGTCTTACAAGGAAATTACAAGGACATGCACATGGTGGGCTGATATGCACATGGTGGGCATGTCGTGAGCGGAGCCGGCTGGTGCCAGAGGTCAGACTAGATGGCCCGGGAGACCCCTTCTGACTCGCTCTGTTTCTATGTTTCTACTTGTTTTTAATAGACTTTCTCCCCCCCCACCCCCATCTTTGCTAATTTCTTAGTAAGAAAACAGAAAAATTCCATACTGGTTAGAAGATAATGACAAAGCAATAAGCTCAGTAAATGCATGCAATGTTTATTGGGTAAAGAATAAGAAATACCATTTGTTTTGCACATTGATGAAGAACTTTTGCATTCTGTTGCAACAGAAATTGGTGAAAATATTTTTTCCTTCAATATATATGTATCTGCACATTTCTTGAATGGGAAGCTCTTTGTTTGCTATGAGACATTTCTAATTCGGAATGTTAATGGGTTTCCAGCTATTAAGACATAATTATATATCTGGTGTATTTAACTATAGAAAAATATTCTCGAGCAATCACAAAAGAATATGGAAAATGCATTGCTTGCATATTGACTCATTTTCTTGTAATTTACCAGAAGTGCCAATCTAAGTGCAGCCATAATGTGAAAAGTACATTAAACCCTGGAGTTACATTGTATGTATTAAATTATTGCTCTTGGGGAATAAAACATGTGAGGCCATTTAGCCTTCAATCACAAGTGTTACTTAGATTTATAGCAGAGATGTAATTCATTGCCTTTCTGAGGTAAGACATTGGCCATGAAATATTTCACTCCTTTTAAATTAGATAAACATATTTTTCTTCATACACAATTAACATTTCTTTAATAACTCAGGTGTTAGGTTATACCTACCATGTCCTATGTCCACTTACCTGGGAGTAAGCCTAACTGAACTTTTTAGGTTTCCTTCTGAGGAGGCATGTATAGGATGGAACTGCAAGCTTCTCAGTAGGACTGCAGCAATAAGAACCTGCTGGTGCTGCTATACTAAGGTTTCTTTCTTTCAGTTGAGAACTGCAATTTGTTTTGCTTATTTTGTTCCTGATTATTGTGTAGATGACTTTTCCTTTTGATTTTCTTTGCAAAGTTTATTTTCTCCTTTTTTCATGCTTGATATGTATTACATGACTAAGAAACTCATTCTCTGTCCTTTAATATTTATCATTTGCAACTAATTTCAGCCTAGGCTGCTTCCATTTTTGCTACCATCATTTGAATTTATACATGACTATTGATGCTTTTTTTTCCCTCACAGAGATAAATGGTGATATGTAGGCAGCGCAACCTATTAAAATACATTATTGTATTTAATGGCTATTTATGACAACTGGAAAACTTCATATTCTGCCTATTATTAATAGGAGAACATAAGACACAGCAAAACCTAAAAAAGAAAGGAAGGAAGAAAAAGAAGCAGTTGTACAGAGATGGAACTAGACATTACCAAAGATGATCTGCCCCTAATGGCCAATACAAACCACATACTAGTCAAGCATTACGTGTTGGACCTGAATGTAGACACAGAAAACCGTATTATTGGGGGCACCATAGTTTTGTTCTTGGAAACTGACAGCAGGTACAGAAAAAGAAACGGTGAACACGTGGAAGATGCCTGTCGTCCGAGATCGGATGAAGCCTGCCATGGTCCTGTCTCAAATGCAAGTGCCTGTTCAGCCAAAAGTGGATGTAATGATTTTGCTGTCTGTGGTAAAGGTGAAAATGATACTTCTGATAAAAACGGTAGCCATGGCAACAGGGAACAGGCTTCTGGGATTTCTAGTTCAAAGAACTGCTGTGACATTGAGATTCATGGGAATGAAGATTTTTTGCTGGTCCTGGACTGCTGTGATTTATCTGTGTTAAAGGTTGAGGAGGTAGATGTTGCTGTAGTTCCAGGCATTGAAAGATTTACAAGCTCTGCCAACTTAAGGGATGCTTCTAAGAATCCAAGGGATCTTAGGAATCAAATTGTGCATGAACTTGTGACATTACCTGAAGATCAGTGGAGGGAGCAGCTTCACTACTACCAGCACTGCAGCCAGGCACCTGCTTGTGGAGAGCTTCAATTTGTTACTGGCACTTGGAGCTTGGAGCTCAGGAAAGCAGGAATCCGACAGCCAAAGGACTTTCCCCATGCCATCAGGATATGGTACAAAACAAATCCAGAAGGAAGATCGCTTAGCTGGACTACAGACCAAAGTGACAGGTAGGCAACCGTCTTAGGTGTCCTTTGTTATGTGTGGGATGGGGCAGAGCTGAACCGTAATGAGGAATCTCATTTTGAGATTGAATGTAACTAGATTATTAGCAAAGGCTGCAAAGTTCAGAGATTGTGAAGCTGAGCAGGATGAGATCACTTTAAGTCTGAATCCTGTGAATGCATTAAGTCAGAATATTCAAGATGAGGATCAACTCATTGTAGTGTGCTTTGAGTAAAAGGTATGGGAAGCAAACATTTTATAAAGCATTCCCATTTTTCTGTTTTTTTAATCCATTTCCTTGGGTCAGTAGTGTTTGTATAAGAAATTTAGGAGTAAATGCAAAATGTGTTTTGATGATAGAAAGTTAAAATGTTTTAATATGACTACTTTGTTTAATTAGATACTCTTTTTGTTTGTTGCTATTTGTGTTAATATTTCAGTCAGGGTTTGAATGTAGGTTAACAAACCATAAATAAAAATTCTATAGTACATATTGCATATATCTAGAATCATATAGTTGTAAAATGCTGATGTATTTAAAACATTAAAGTTTAAAGAATATGCAACATATTATTTTCCAGAACAATACATCTTGCCTGATTTTGGTATCATCTGGATCACCCCAGCTTCATCTCAACCACTCTTTTGTCAGCTGTTTTCATAACCTAGCCTTTGTGTTATTCAGTACTATATAGGGAAATAACTTGATTAAGGGGACAACTAGACAAGATTGCAGGAGATACCAGACTACATTACCTGTGGATTTTAAAAAGCGCACAAGCAGTTGTGCATGAGGGTGCTGCTGCACTTGTATCCCACCTGTGGGTTTGCTGTGGTTGCTGCTTGATTACTGTGTGAACAGAATGCTATACTAGATGGACCAGCACAGGTCCCTTTATGTGTTTCATTCAAATCAGGATTGAGGTAAGGGTGGGTTAATTTTCATGTTATTTTAATACTCCTTGTCCTGAAACTGTTAGTTGCCCTATGGGCAGTACATATCAGTCCCCTTATGGAAGCTGTTTGCTTGCCACAAGGGCAGATAGCAACTTCAAGAGAGGAGGGGGAATTTGGGTTGGTAGAAGAGTTATTTCTTCTTGGTTCCATCTACCCTTTTGAAAACATGCAATAATGTGATCATGGTTCAGCTGTTGCAGCTTTTATGTATATAACAATTTTATTGAATTGAGCATAAGCAGGTTTTACTGGTTACTTCATTCATCAAATAGTAATATGCTTGAAATCTCTGTTCCCTCTTTCAGATTGTATCTAGCATTGCTCCCTTATACCTTGGGACAAGCTGGGCTTGTCCTGAAATTCCAAGTAAATTGGATGGCTACTGCCACTGTCTTGACATGCTCACTTGTTATTGGATTCCCTTATATGAAGACTGGTCAGTGCTATTTCAGAAAAAAACAAAAAAGAAAAGCTTCCTTTCCTCCAAACGCTGCACTTAGTTTAAGTTCTATGCATTGTGTCACAGTCTTGCACGCGTCCTCGCTTTCTCTCTCGCTCTCGCTCGCGCGCGCGCTCTCTCTCTCTCTCTATGCCTTTTCCTCTGTCTTTCCTCATATCTGTCATCTAGAAGATGACCTGCAGTGCACATTGTGTAAGATACGTCCCATCACCCAGGTCTGCGTGCTGTAGCTGTCTTTCCATTGCCTGCCTTCTCATGCATTTCTGGTTTCTTCCAAGTCACAAATGTTCCCTTGTTCCAATTACCAAGCAGCTCAAACTAATGTGGAGATATGGGAGCACTATTTTGTACCATTCTCACTCTCCCACTGCTGGGGCAGGAGGTCACATGCCCACTCTAGATATTGTGTCCCTTGGCCCAACACTACTATTATATTATCCTGTTCTTATGCCTTACCAGTGCATGATATATATAATATGTGAGTTGTAACTAATGGGAAATGTGTGTGTATGGAGGGGTGGGGAGGGATGTAAATTCGTTTGAATACCAAAGTTCCATACCCAAGGACTTATATAGTCTTTGTTAATCATGCATGGTGAGGTGCTTTTTCTCCCCTACCTACAAAGCCAATTTGCTACTGAGTAGAAGTGGAACCTTTTACAATAACACGCTCGAAATGAAGTTATTGCACTTTATGACAGAGCTTCCACTTCAATCTCAGTATAATATATTGCTCATTGCTTTGGGTTCCTTTCTGCTTATGCTCCCCAACAACCAGTAATGCCATAGAAAATATTTTTAACATAAAAGTAATTTTACACCTGGATAATTATATCTGCCTGGTCCATGTAAATGAAGGGCAAGCTAGTTTTCTGCTGCCGTTTGTTTTGTTTGTGCTGTGTATAGTATTTGTTCATCAATACCTGAATGTGCTTCTCAGGTTTGCATGTACATGTGGCCACATTTAGGACTTTCTCATTAGGTCTTCCTAGTAGCAGAAGCACTGGCAAATTTTCAAGCTTGACTAGATTTTACTGAGTCAGTAAACTTACCTTTGGGCTCTATCACTCCAGATTGCTGGGGTGGCTTGCATGATTTAACTCCCGCCCCCCATTTTTTTAGTATGAAAATTAGTATGTCTGTGAGAAAGCTAGGCTAGCCCATGCTGTCTGACATCAAATTTCTACATGGAGATAATATTTTTGTATGGAGAAGTCTTAACTTAGAAACAGAGCAAGTCAAAAGGGGCCTCCTAGGCCATCTAGTCTGACACCCAGCTCCAGCCAGCTCCACTCATGACATGCCTGCCATGTGCATGTCCAGCCTGAAGGAGTAGAGCTTGGCCATAAACCTCCAGTCTTGCTGAGAGCTAGGCCTAAGTTATTCCATATCATTTAGGAATAATTTTCAGTGGCTCATTTATTTATTTATTTATTTATTATTTATTTATTTATTTATTTATTTATTTAGAATTTTTGTATGCCGTCCCATCGCTTAATGCCTCAGGATAGCTTACATAAATAAACAAACATGATACAAAAAAATACAAATTATACAAATTAAAAACCCGATTTTATAGTTATCTACATATTGGCGGATCTGTTCCCAGTTTTGGGGATGCATGCAAGAGATTTTATTTATTTATTAGATGTATATCCTGCCTTTTTTTTAGAATTCAGAGTGGCTTACATCATTATCCCCTTCCTGATTTCAGTCTTATCACCACCACAACAACCCTGGTTGGGCCGAAACTCTGTGACTGGTCCTAAGTCACCAGTTAGCTCCAAGACTGGGCAGGGACTAGAACCCAGATGGCCTGAGACCCAAACCCACATTCTGAACCATTACACCACACTTACTTTGTTGCTCAGTGGGATTTTTTTTTTGTTTTGAATAATTGATTCTCATGCTATATGACTAATAAAATTTGTGAAAAGCATCTCAATTTTTGTTAAAATGGCTTGCTATGTAGTATATGGACTGCCATATGAGAAACAAAAGAGCAGCAGTTCTTTGAGCACATGTGGCTAGTTGCATGGTTCTTTGGATCCTGGCCATTTAACATTTCAAATAGCCTTTAAATTGGTCATTTCTTCTTCCAAAAATGCTGTGAGGCATATATTATTGACTCTTTATTGTTGCCTTGGTTTGGTGAAGTCTAGGAAGATTCAAGAGTAGCATTTGGGCATAACAAAATTATGGAGTGACACCATGCTACATTTTGGCTCTCTGATAGGATAATGAGGAGATGTCTGCTGGAATGCAGCTGAGAAGAGCTCATGTACAGACTTTGATCCATGGAGTAGCAGTTCTGTCTAATGCAGTACCGGTCCTGTAATAATTGAATATTTTCTCCTAAAATATGTGAAAGGACCTAGAAAAGAGTGACAGTCAGTTTCAGCACCTCAAATCTTCTCCAGCATTCTCAGGAATATTTTTAGCTCTAGTGTTAAGTCTCAGTGTGTGGGAAGATAGTGGCATTTGCCAGGTAACAGGTGGTCTAGCTGTGCTTCCTCTCTCTTTAGCACACAACATGATAAAAGAATGGGACCTGCTGGGCTACTGAAGGAAAAATCTTGAGAGGATAGGAATAAAAGGTCACTGTGCTGTGCAGCTTCCTCAGTATTTCATTTAATGTGTTGTTTTTAATGTGTGAAGATAGTAAGGATTTGAATCCTCTTTCTTTATCTCTGAAAAGAAATGTACTTCAATTATACTTATGGAAAGTTATGACTCCAGTTGTCAAGTGTGCAAAAAACAGTTACTGGGCTTGTTTTCTTAGTCACATTCTGGCATCATGTGTTGAGCTCAGATTAGGACTTTGAAGACAACGGACAGGCTTTAAAAAAAACAACAGGTAGAGACTGCATTCACACAACACAACAAACAACCCTTTGTGGTTACATGGTTTGTAGGGTGGGTTACCATGATCTACCAGACAGAGGATCAAGAGGCTTTCAGTCTTCCCACTTTTGGCATGTATCCCGTCAGCCACTGCACTTAAAATTAAATCCCTGTGTGCACCACTCCCTTCCCCATTGGCCCACAAATATTTATTTGTTAGATAAATTTATATCCTGCTTTTCCCATACAATGAACTAAAAGCAGTTTATATAATTCTCCTTCTCCTGCTCTCAGTCTTATACCACAACAACCCACTGAGGTAGGTTGGGGTGAGAGTTTGTTGTAAGCTGTCCCAAGACGTCTGTAGGGATGGGATAGAAAAGCTTTTAATAAATAAATACATTTGTGACTGGCTTAAAGTTACTCCATTGGCTCCATGGCCAAGGGGGTACTAGAACCCAGATGATCCTAGTCCCAGTCCTGCTCACTTGATTCCGTGCTGCAGACTGAAGCATAACCTTACTCAGACAGTGAGTTTACCAGGGGCAGAGGTAGGCTTAGTCTTTTTTCCACTGATTCTCTTTTAATTTTTCCATACAGAAGATGTGAGTGGCTGCCACTCACATTTGTGGGAAAAGCAAACCACTTGGGAAACCGCTGTGTTAGGAGCTAAACCTGTGCTGCAGTACTGATAGTTTGTGGCCTAATAGCAATAATGATGGGGATCCTGCAGGCATCAGCAATGAATAGGACATTAGTAGACCAACCTTCCCCAACTTGGTTTCTCCAGCTGTTTTAGACCACAGCTCCCAGGACTCCTAGTCATTGCCCATGCTGGCTGCAGCTGATGGGAGTTGAAGTCCAAAGCACCTGGAAGGCACCATGCTGGGCAAGGCTGCTATAGAATGTACACAGAAATACAAGATTAGTTTGGATGTAAGTTTAGTGGTTTGAAAATAGGAATAAGTGAGCCTTGGGCTCATCTTGTCACCATCCACCTTTCCTTCCAGTGTGGCTACAAGGAAGAATGCTTTGCTTCTGTTTTAGATTAACCATAGCTTCTTGTGTCATTTGAACCTGGCATGCTATGGTTAACTCTAACTTTGAAGTTGACTTATTTCTACTAACCATAGTTAAGATTAACCACAGTTTAGGCTTTTGAAGACACATTAAGCTAAATCACAGAGGCAGCTTCCAATTCCTGCCTCATGGCCATGGGGAGTGTGTGGATCTAAAGTTTGTCTCTTAGCAGTAAACTGTTGTTTAGTGTTACATTGGGTCACATTCTGCCTTTCTTCTGGGTATTTGCAGTGTACATGCTGTCCTTCCACAGAGCCATGCCCAGCTGCCTATAACTAGGGATGTGGAGGAATCCATATTGGAACTGAGAATCTCTGAATGCATTCTCTGAACTTGGCTACCTAGACTCTGGTCTACTTGGTTGTAGCCATGAATTCTAGTTCCTGGTGAACACACCCAGCGTTCATGCAGCACTTGCCGGGAATCGATCCTTGTGCAACCACTGTGCAAGCAGCATCCTTCCACATCACATGCAACAGACTCTTTTTGTGCTGCTGCAAATGATGCAGAAAAAAAATGCCAGTTGTACAACCTTTGTTCTGTGAGTGTTTGTGGACTTCCATTCAGCTTGCTTTGGGGCCAAGCACAAGAGGAAATTCACACATGCTAGCAGAACAGATATCACGGAGCTTGGTCACAACAATGTCTGCAACATCAGGCATTCTCCGGTTCATTAAGGGAGGCAAAAAAATGAATTTGTTCTGCAACAGAATATCATATAAGTAAAAAGAGTAGAAGTATGTTCTACTGATTTGCTTTCTTGCCTCTTTGTTGCAAAGAAAAACCAAGAATTTCTACCAATTGGACTGAAAAATGTATGAAAGCCTATCTCCAACATTTTGATACTGAGATCAGATGCACTTTGGGTACTGAAAGTTTGAATTTCTATTTCTTTGGGGACTGTAGTATTTCCTGTAATTAGTTGTATGGTACACATTACCTCATTCTTATCTTTTTCACTTTCCTATAGGCCATGTGTTTATACAGTGGGGTCTCCTGTAAACAACAGGGCCCTCTTTCCATGCCAAGAACCTCCTGTTGCCATGTCAACATGGCAAGCTACAGTCCGAGCAGATGCATGCTTTGTTGTTTTAATGAGTGGAGAAAATGCAGCGGAACCAACAGAATCTGAAGAAGGTACATCGTGTCATTTCAAAAATGTTTTAATATGGAATTAGTACTTCCGCCGCACAGCCTGGTGAGGCTCCCAAGCTGTTCTGTTTAGCTCATCTTTCTCAGACTCCACCTCTCTCTAATGCACAGGGTATGCTTTCTTTTATATGTTTTATATCGCCCTTGGCTTATCTGTTCGAATTCCTTCCTTTCTGTCAAATCCTTGTCTCTCTTTCAAGGCTTAGAACTTCCAGTAGTTAGTAGCCAGGACCAGTCTTTTGATGAGGCAGGATAAGTCTCCTGCTTAGCACTTGCTTGGAACAACAACATATTGGGCCCTCATGCCACTATATTAGTTCTGCTCCCTCACTGTGATAAACGCCACAGAAAAAACCAGCTGGGTTTCTTGGACAACGGTGCATCTTTCATTCTAAATATTCTACTAGAGCAGTGGTGGCGAACCTATGGCATGCGTGCCACAGTGGGCATGTAGAGCCCTCTCTGTCAGCACACGAGCCAAGTCGCCCCAGCATCGCCCCAGCAGCCAAGCATCAGATAACAGCATACATAGGGGTCATGTGCATGCTCAGAAAGGAGTAGTGGTGCCAGGTGATGATGTCACATGCCACGACTCATTAGCTGCGACTCGTCCGAGCTTTCGCATGGCCAGTCAGTGCACTGCCATATTGCTTGGATTGGCTGTGAGTTGCTTTCCCTAAACTACAACCTTAGTTTCAGGTTTTATTGCAGTGTTGGCACTTTGCGATAAATGGGTTTTGGGTTGAAGTTTGGGCACTCAAATCTCTAAAAGGTTCACCACCAGTGGGTTAGGGTTAGGAAAATGAGGTCTCCTGGCATGATTTTGATGGTTGGAATGTGTTTAGAATGGGCAGAAATGTTGAGCAGTGCAGAAAAATCTACTCAAGGAAGACTTTTTCAAAATCACCCCCTTTTCAATGGAACTTTCGCCCTAGATCCGCCTGGCACCGTCGTTATTTGTTTTTCGGTGCCAGGCAAAGACCTTTTTATTCAAACATTATTTTAATTGTTAATTTTATTTATTTTATTTTTTGGCCAGGACGACTTAAATTATACTGTTTTATATTGTGTTTATTTATGATTGTGAGCCCCCCTGAGGCTTTGGCGAATGGGGCGGCATAGAAATTCTCTAAATAAATAAAATAAATAAATAGATTAGGGTTAGGGGAGTGTACCAGGGCAGGGTTAGGGTTAGAAAAACAAGGTGTCCTGGTATGATTTTGATGGTTGGAATGTGTTTAGAATGGGCATAAATGATGAACTGTGCAGAAAAAGCACCCCAAGGAAGGGTTTTTCAAAATTGTCCTCTTTTCAATGGTATTTTACCCCTATATTAAGGTTAGGGGAGTACAGCAGGGTAGGGTTAGGCCACAGCGGGCACACAGAACTCTCTCTGTCAGTCCGCGACCCAAGTTGTCCCAGCATCCTCCCAACAGCTGAGCATCGGATAACAGTGTGCCATGTGTATGCTCGGAATTGAACAGCGGCGCCAGGCGATCGCGTCACGAGCTGCTATTCATTAGCTGCGACTAGTCCGAGCATGGCTGGTCCTTGGGCTGCCAAGGATATATATATATTTGCTTGGACTGGCTGTGAGGTGTTTTTTCTAAACTAAAACCTCAGATTTCAGGTTTTATTGTAGTGTTGGCACTTTGCGATAAATAAGTGGTGTTGGGTTGCATTTTGGGCACTTGGTCTCTAAAAGGTTCGCCATCACTGTACTAGAGCAAGAATTGTGGGGACAGCATGCTCCCTTATGAGACTGCCACCCCAGTCCCTCACTTTGCAAGAATCCGAAGTGCGAGAGATCAGGTGGATGGGCTCCAAAGATAGAATTTCCAGGACTATTTCACCATGCCTGTGTGTGATACTTCACAGACAGAGCTCTAAGACATTTTATTTTTGTTCAGCAACTCTTTGGATTGATCTATAAGACATATTGAAATAAACACTCTTGTAGCCCTATACATATCTACTGAGAAGTAAGCTCATTAGAGTTCAGTTCGACTAACTCAGTGTGTGGGTATAGGACTTTACCCTTAATAAGCATGGAAGAAATTTGGGAGGCTAGTGTTTGGTATTCCAACTCTAATCTAAATTATTTGATTGATTTAGCCATAACCAACTGAAACCCCTTCCCATGCTAATTTTCTGCCTTGAACAGAGTTGCAATATTGGAAGAAATTACCTATAACATAGATAATTAGCCCCAACCTTTTTGAACATGTGAAAATTTGAGAAACTGCTATAGGTCCTGCCACAACATTCCTAATCAGTGAATCACCATGTTAGCATCTCCCTGCTTCATTGGTGGATCTTAGGAAGCTTCTTAGTCAGCAAAATTTTTGTTTAAGGTCTATTGGACACTTTAACTTCTGCTTAGTAAGGAATTGTCTAATTTATCTAATCACAAGCGGTGATATACACGAATGTTTCTTTGAAACATTTGTTTTGGTAATGTTGGTAATTGTTTCATTTTGGAAGGATGTTATTATACAGATAAATTTTTAAAGTGGAATAGTGTTTCATACACACTGATTTTAAATTATTTACCTGCGTCATTAAAAATAACAAATGGTCAGTGTAAATAGATTCTTTGAGCCTTTTTAATAGTTAAATCACTGGTATTACAAAATTGGAAAGATTAATATTCAAGTCTTACCATACAATGACTTGAGAACTCAGCAATGCTTTCTATATTTGATCAGGTGACATATCCAGCTTTAAATGAATTGATTTGCACATTTGGTCCATATTTATTGAAGCATATGTATAATTGCTAGGAAGATGCATGAATTTCATATGTATTCATTGCTATGTTAAGTGAACCTATCGTGAAGTTTTGTGGGTGCCTGCAGGAAATTTATGTCTCCTAATGTAAATAATGGTATCTTTCAGAAGAATGGTTTTCTACCAGTTAACATGCAGTCATGTCATAGGCATGGTAGGCCTAAACTCTGGGAATAGGAATTGACAGTCTTGTATATTGCAATGGTCTTCGAACTGGATGTCTGTGCTTCCTTAAGGCAGTGAAGGTAGCACTAATTATTAACTTATCACAGAGCTGAGGTTGTATTTGGGAGAAACACTTGGCATAGCAGTGTCCTCCAGACAAAAGGGCTTTTAGATATTTCTCAGGCTAATTATATGCATGTTACCCAGAAGTACGTCTCATTGAGTTCAATTGGACAGTCACTCAAATAAGCGTTCAATAGATTGGAACAATAAAACTGTCCTCAGACCCTTTAATGAAGAAATGAAGTGATAATATTGGTGGAAGATTTTGTAATAAGAATTATTTAGAATAATTTTGCTACATTTGTCATATTTTTACTAATATATTGTTCTAACATTACCTAACAAAGAATAGCTGGCTTTTTTTTTTTTTTTTGGTAGTTTTGCTGCCATGTGATTTAAGTAAACATTTCTGAATGGAAAAAAGGATGGTTTGCTTCTTGGAAGGCTTAACTCTCCAAAGGGGTGGTAGAAGGAAGAATTCAGTACAATGTTGATTCTTGTGTTATAAATGACATCAGTGCTCCATAGCTTTAGTACTGATTATGCCCTGAATTAGTAATAAAAGATGTAGTTTCTGGTACTTCGGTGAATAAAAAAGACATTTGTTGAATTTTGTTTACCGTTTGCAAAGTGTCATCCTTCCTCCCCAATTTGGCAATTCTAAGCCAGTATATGGGTCCCCTCCTCATTTTAAGAATTAAAAAAATTGCTCAGTATGTGAATGCAAGAGTCTGAGAGATGGTCCAGTGAATGGAATTAAAACATTTTTTGTAGGTACAAAAGATATACAGATTGTTTTTGGACAATGGGAATGCTATTTTGACTGCTTCACATGAGAATCTTTCCTCCATTGTATAGAATCTCTCATCACATTTCACTATTGCTGTATAAATCTGTTTCTTCCTCCCACAGAGTGATCATTTTTATTGTTCTATAATACTGTGTGAAAACTTCTGTAGATGAAGCTGCATGCATCTTTCCCTAGACATTTATTTTGGCACATTGGGGTGCTTCCTAATGAAGGTCTCCCAACATTACCAATCAAGGGTGTTGCACTATGTCATGTTTTCCTCCTTAATGGCTTTTATTTTATTTTTTTTCCTGATAAGAAAAGGATGAAAAAATGGTGGAAAAACATGGGAGTGTTACAAGTATCCAACAAACACATTTCAAATGAGTATTTTCAATAAGAATATGTGATACATAGTATTTTAAGAGACTTAAGAGTTAACTAAGAGAGTTGATTGCACAATAATAAATGCAGCATGCAATAATCATACTTAGCACTATTTTAAATATAAAAAGATAATTACTTTGAATTATGTATTTGGCATAGCCTGTGAACTGCCTAGAATCTTATAATCTGCATACAGATTTCCTTGCAAACTTGGCTGTAGAAACTGATTTCTGCCCAAATCATTAGGTTAGCATATTAAGGAGAGGAGTTTCACTTCTTTCTTGTTATATTTTGTAGGAAAGACCAGTTGCGGTCCAAAGTCAGGTCGATGTTTATGTGTACAAGTTGGACCATTTCAGTGCCACGTGGATATATGCATTGCATCCCTGAATATTTCTTTTATTTCTACCCTAGGTGGTGCTATGTCCAAGGGAGCCACAGAAGGGCATACTATTGAGATAACAGATAGCAACAAGTGTAAGAGGAAACTAGATTTAACATAGTAGGCTGAAAGGCATAATGAAAGACGAGAGAAAAACAACATCAGGGACAGGACGCAAGGCCATTATGTTAATTTATTTTGTGTTCTTGGAAATAAGGGAAGGAAGAACAATAAGCAGTTATTAAAATTAGAGAAAAATAGGCAAATAATAGTAGGCAAAACTTCAGGAAACGATGTCTACAATAGGGATGTCATGTAAGTGAGAGAAGCATGAAAATTTCTTGCAGTGGTGATGAGTTCAGCTGCTGCATAGAGAGCCTTGGAAATAATAAGCTATGACTGAGTTTGAAGAGACTTCAGATCATCATTACAATTTATGTAATACTTTATAGTTCAAAAAACATTTTGCTTGAACTGGTATGAAACCTCTATCTACAGTGTTGGGCCTGTAACAGCTGTATCAGTAGTGCAAGTTTCGGGATATGGATATAATTGAAGTATATTATATATTATTAATTGTTATAATATATTAATTAAAATGGAGGTATAATTGGTCTCCTGGGTGGTGGGGGCACTGTATTATTTCCTCATTTATTTGTGAGATTTATATGCCGTCCTATTGCGAAAGCCTCAGGACGGCTTACATAAATAAAATACAAATATCAATATAAATAAATTATGACAGAATTTCAACATAAACAAATTGACCCACTCTGGCTGCATTTATTCATTAGTTGGGTTTTTTGTGTCATGTTATTAACATTGTGATGTTTGTATTTGTGAGGTTTTTTCTGTATTTAAAAAAAAATCAAACAGTGGGCAGGGGAAAGTACTGCAAGTTTTCATTTGGTACATCAATAGATGAACATATATGAACGAACAGGGACTTTGACTTCAAAGAAAGCAGTGCTGACATGTTAGCAGCCACAGATTATGAACTCCTTTGGTTCTTTAACAGTTCTCAAAAGTGTTTACAGATGTAAACCGAATCCATGCCCTTTGAATCTCATATTTAACAAGCCAACACACACAAAATACAACTGGGTAGAAAATGTTTGAGTTGTAACATCTGATGTGTAAACCTAACAACACAAAGGAATGGTAATTAATAAGGGGGTCCCGCTTGACTGAAATCCTTAGTGATAAGCTGAGCATATTACATCAGTTCTGCTGAATTAGAGAGCTTAACCTTGGAATAAATCTAGTTGCAATGGATTCAGGCAAGCTCATGAACTGGATCTTTCGCTTGTTCTCCTGTCCTTGAAACTATAACCAAAAGACTTTCCCGAGAGAAGTGAGGATATTGTAGAATGTATCTTACCAGGTTATAGCATGAAAAGGGAATAGCCTGATGGATGGATGGCGTATTTGTGCAAGGTCTGTGAATTAGGCAATTCCTCTCTTCCATTTCAGAATGGTAAGATGCATTTCACAGTATTCTGTAGGTCCACCTGAGCCTTTCGAGATGCTCTATGGAAAGTACAGGAACGTAAGAGGAAAAGAAGCTATAAACTTATACTCATGTGATCTTGAATTTTACCCTGTGTTTTTATTAGATGTCAGGGTTACTTTGGCACTGTTATATCGGATATTAGAATAAATTAGTGTCTACTATAGCCACAAAGCAGGGGTGGATAACCCTTTTTGGTTCTAAAGCTATACTGCTATCCAAGAAACTTTCAGAGACTGCATGCTAATGGTGATGATAGTCAGAACCCAAAGTGAATGTGGCCTTTTCACTTACACACCATCCACACTGCAGCCACACCATCCACATAAACATGCACACTGTTCATTCACTGACACACACGTGTCCTCCACTGATCCATGCAGGTCAGCTGTGGCAAAGGAGAGTATTTCTCAACTTCCATTCACAGTATTGTGTAGGAGAGAGTTCTTATTTCCAATAAACAGCTGATCAGAGATCAGCTCTTCAGGAGAAAGTAGGAAGAATCTTTGATAGCTGCAGATAAGGTTGACTGGGAAAGAAGCTGATGGGCTAAATGTGGCCAATGAGCAGAGGTTTCCCCTGGAGAAAGAGTATAGAATATAATGTTTTGAAAACTGGGTGAAATACCATGTTGGGAAAGCAAATGTCCTCTAGTGTATTAGGACTTTCTTCTCTTTCCTTCTCATCACTGAGATCCCGGAACAGATTTTGAGGGTGCACGAATGAGCTGGAAGGAGAATTGCACCCTTCCCCACCCTGCTTCCCCATCCAGTTCAATCAGTGTGAAGACTTAATTGGATAGCACCCTGCCTTATGGCTGAACTTGAAAACACACCTAACCCTTAGGCTACCTGAATCAGGGAGTAACTCTTGAGTTTTACTAGCTCAAGTGAGATGCAGTGAATAATATATGTTCTTTTCTTCATAGGTGCATTAAGTTGGTTTTATTATGTCACCATGCCAATGCCAGCATCTACCTTCACTATTGCTGTTGGATGCTGGGCTGAAGTTAAAAGAAAAATGTGTGCAACTGATGTTCAGAGGAATGATGGATTCTTTCCGCTGTTCTCAAAGGCGGATGTCAGGTTGGTGATTACAGTTGAAAAATATGTACTTTAGAGAACATTCCATTTCTTCAGTTATACAAGAAAATGAGTCATCAGAGTCAAGGAACAATAGCAGAACATGTTTAATCAAAGCAGAGGGAAGCCATATAAGAGGAATTAGTCCAATGGGTGAGGATGGGCAAGGGTGTGTTGCTTATACAGAAAGAAAGTGTTCTTTGAGTAATGAAATTGGTTTCCGCATGAATTTGTTTTAGCTGAAGTGTTTGAAAATTGAACTCCTAAAAATGCCAGGCTCTTACATCCTTTTTTGTCCATTATGAATCTTACTTGTTTTTACAAGTTCCAAACACTGCAGTCAATGTCTGTGTGGTCACAGATGACCTAGTGGCATTGCTGAAATTTAGGACAAATTGGGATTGTTGAAGACCAGCCTTTGCAAACTTGGTACCTCCAGATGTTTTGGACTACAGTTTTTTACTATCCTGAACTAGCATGGGATCGGTAGGATTTGTAGACAATACATTTAGAAGGCATTGAGTTGGGAAAACTGGTCAAAAGATTCAGGTTAACACTCTTGTAATAGTTATTTTAAGGACTTTCCCTCCCTCCCTCCCTCCCTCCCTCCCTCCCTCTCTCTCTCTCTCTCTCTCTGGACTAATGAAAGATTCAAAATTTCAAACTACTCATTTTGCATGAAAAAAATACTTTAAGGGTCATATTTAAGGAAGGCCGGTGCTCCTTAGTTCCAGTTTTGCAAATCTGGTTAGATAGCTATTTCTGTTTCATATTTTGTGATCTGCCATCTCTCTCTCTCCATATAAGTCTACTTTCTGAGCCTGCAACTTTGTTTTGTTTCACACTCTCTTCATATAGGAGTAATGATATGTCTTCCTCCTAGTGATGTTTTTTGTTCTTTCAGTTTTTTGAGCTCAACTCTTTTTGAGGTATGCAGTTGCTAACAGTACTAGTTAGTTCACATATTGGTACAGTTAATTGTTCAACAGAAATCCATGGTGCTGTTAGCAGTATATTTGTGTCTCATGTTTTTTGAGTCTGTAACAGATTAGCAATTTCATGGTGAAATTTTCTTCAGAGGAGTTCAAAATACATTCCTGTTAGTATTTTCTGTGTACTATTAAAGAATAGGAATATTGTTCAGAGCATTCACACATTACAAATGTATTATCCCACATTTTTCAGCCAATAAACAGCTATGTCCTTGCTGAAGATGTAACTACTAATGTCCCTTATCCATAGCTAGGGGAACAGGAGTACACTGTGCATTCCATCACCCTTCCTTTGCCAACATTAGCTATGTTTCAGTTCCATAGGCAGGCAACCTGGTATTCTCCAGCCGTTTCAGACTACAATCCCCATTCACCCCAGCCAGCATGGCCATATTCAAGAACCATTAGGGTTTCAGTCTAAAATATCTGGAGGGACCTTGGTTATCTGCCACTGCTTTTGTATTGTATCTGCATCAACAAAACCCCATGTTCACATCTTCACAAGGATTTGGAGTGGATCAGCAAATCCCAATGGAGGCTATCAAAGAGATGGAGGAGGAAAAAATAGGTGGAAGAGAGATGGAGAAAGCATGTGAGCTCACAGTCCACTCCTATTTCTTTTCCATTGTAAAGAAACCAACACCACTATATTTGTAGTGGTTAGTTCCTGGTACATCCAGAGTATGGCGGCAATTCTAAAAAGGAACATGTTGTAATAATTCTTCCTTTGGCACTGTGTTTGGCTACTGATAAAATTGTAAACCTGGGAAGAAAAGCTGTAACTTAAATTCTATACTCCTGGGATGAAAGAATCTACAATAGAAGAGTGCTTATCTGTTACCTTAAAACACTAAAAAGCATATCTGCACTGAAATACAAGTATGGATCCATGCAGTAAAACTTGGGTGGGACATAATTATTATTATTATTTGTACCGTGAGTTGTAAATACCAGATTCTCTTGGTGGTGGTGATGGTGGTGGTTGTTATTGTTGTTGTATTATTATTATTATTCTGCTTCTGTACTAGCCCATGAGTTTCTCTGGGCAGTTTACATTTCCAAATACATTGGGATTTCAAATACAGTTTTCAATAAATTCCAGATACAATTCAAAAATAAATATACAGCAATAGAACAAATATAACAATATCTACCATATAGTCTACAGTAATGTGTCAGTCTACAGTGTCATGAGGCAAGCCCCATTCTCAAAGCTTTAATTTCTGTTGGAACCTAGACAACCCAAAGAGTTGTAGTAGAAAATAAGAGGGAAAACATTTGTATAATCTGTGAAGGATTTCATAGCCAACTGATTAAAATGCATTTTGCCTTATGATTTTTGCTATTTTCTCTTTTACCCATCATTTTATTCTTTGTATATTTTTCCTTGTATTTGAAGTGTTCCATTATTAACCATAACTCTGTGAGGACCACATGGTTTAGTGTATAGCACATTAATCACAGGCCCTCAAATATCAACTTACAGATGGAATGCTACCAGATGAAACTTTTATTGTGTAATTGCGCTGCCTTGTTCACAGCATATATTTGGGTTAAAGACTGTGTCCAAACATACTTCTTTTGTATATGTAACCTTCCTGTGTTTTCCTACTGCTCTTTTCCATTATTTTTTTCTTACTAAATAATTACATCATATTTTTGGATTGGTAGCATAGGAATTGGTAGCACCTGGAAATCTTGAATGGTATTGGACATTTTAATGCCATTATTCCTGTTCTGTTTTCGTACATGTGTGATTTTTTAAAACGAAACTATAAAAGCATATTTTCCAAGATGACAGGAAGGTAAATGTGACAATATCTGGAAACTGGTTGTGTAGCAGAAAGATTCCTGCACAGCAATTCGCTCTAGACTCAAGCAAGTCAGCCAAGCCACTTGTCACTGGACCAACATGAAATGATAGGGAATTATCTCAACAACTGAATTATGCCCCTGAGTTAGCTCCTCAGTATGAGCCAAATGATATGCTTTGGATCAGCCTTCCTCTGGATGCCCTCCAGATGTGTTGGACTGCAACTCCCATCATTCTGGGTCAGTATGGTCATACTCTATATGCTTTGGAGCTGCAATCCAACAGATTTGGAGGGTACCGGAATGAGGGAAGGTATCTTATATTGAACCTTCTCTAGAACACTTTTATCTTCATGCACACTAAATTCCTATCTATATTTGAAAGTCCCTTCTGTCCCACATGAAATTGTTTTCCTGATCCAAATGAGCTACTGCTGATATGCTGTAATAAAAGCAAAGACCATCAACAAGCAAGTCATGATAGTATGTTGAGAGCCTCAATTGTTTAAAAAAATCAACTCAATCAATGTATTGTTTGTAACTGCCAGGTTGTTGGGACAAGCTTGCGGTCATGTGCCATATCTGTGCCGTTTTCAAGATCCTGCTGCTGCTTCCCAGGTTGTTATTCCGCATCGCATCTTTGTTCCACTGTGCCTGATGAAATCTAGTGAAGATATTCTGACCCAGCTGATTCCCCAGTGCCTCTCAGCTGCTTATAATCTGCTGGGTACTCATCCCTTTTCCAGGCTTGATGTTTTGATTGTCCCATCTAACTTTTGCAGTCTTGGGATGGCCAGGTATGGATATTTTCCACTTTTCTGTGCATATTTACCAAAGAAACTATCTGCAGTGCTTTGGGAGATGCTAGGCCAGCAGTAGTATGCCATGAGTCAAGTATCTAACATTAGGAAGTTGTAACTATAAACCACTTCCATGGTGTTTTTGATGATTCTGAAACAGAGACAGCTACTCATCTGCTTCAATATATGTCATTTACTGAGATGCAGTAGGCATGGCTACCAATCTCTCTCTCAGGAATACATGTTATCCATAGAAGAGCACATATTGCTATTCACTATTTCACTGGTGTTTGTAGTATGCTTTGCTGGCTGATTTATGGGAACACATGTAAAACATAAGGCCACTAAATTATAGAAGGTGTTGTCTCAGGGTGAGGGTGGCCTGTTAAGTGAAAGAAGTCCAGCTTTGATTCTGAGCACCCTGGAGGAATCTATCTGTACAGTTAATGGATGTTACAAATGATTCACATAGACCAGCAGCTATGTTTCTTGGGCTCTGCAGACACAAAAGGGCTATTCAGGGAAAGCATTAAAAGGAGCACAAAATAGACATTCTCAGTGGAGATCTAATAAGGGTAAGGAGGATGTTTATGAATGTGGAGGCATTGTCTACATGCTTATAAAGAGATTCAGAAGTTTTAATGCCAATATGGATACTGCTGGTATAGGATTATTTGAAAGGTTATATCCTGAGAAAATATGCTTTGAGCTTCTCCATATTTTAGCAGCTGAAAAATTATTAATAGCACTGTTTTGTAAATAAGAAGAATCTTCTTTCGCTCACTGCTTTGTTTCAGTAAAATACAGATACAGTCACCATGATAAAATTGATCTATGTCATTACATCCGTATAGAAGAAGGGTTAAAATCTCTGAGCAGACTAATGTTTGCTTACACATTTATTTTCTTTGGAGAAAACAAAGTATTTAAATACTCCTTGAGGACTGTTGGGGCAGAGGAAACCCTTCAAATTGTGGTTTGATTTGACTTGCTTTGGTCTTTGTGTGCAGTATTTGTTCAAGCTAATATATTGCTCTTTCAGACAAAAGAATGGCCATTTGTAGCATGAATTGTTTGCAAGGTACAGTGCAAATAGGGAATAATTAAAGCAGAAATAACTACATGAATGAAACGAAAGTAAAGCAATCTTAGCATGAGTTAAATTCAATTAAAACCTAAGACAAGTATGTGTGAATACACCCCTTTGTATAGGTAAATATATTCAAAGGACATACTCAAATAACTTCAAATTGCCTATGTCTCAGTTGCAAGGAAGGAATGAAAAGAAGGACAGTAATAATTGTTTGTTTGCTGCTATCAGTGTAAAGATATAATCACCTGTGTATAATCTGATGAATTTTGACACTAAGTATAAGTTAACAGTGGAATAAATATCATGGATTGGTCCTTCTGTTTAATTGTGCAGGATATTCTGTGCTTTGCATTCTTGTCACTCCTTATTGTAACAATGGAGCAATTTCAGTTCAGATACAGCCCTGTGTTCCAGAGCTGCTTTATTGCTGTATGTATTAGGTCGGTGCAGAAAGGGTGCTATGCTATGTATATATGTAATCATCTGGCAAATGTGGAGTAGTATAAACATAACATAGCATGCTGGCACAAAAGAGCTGCTGTTCTGAGAATTCTCATTGTACTTGTGTCTGCCAGGAAAGGAAACAGCCATAAATTTTCAGTCATTATCTTTAAATTTGGGATATTTGTGTGTGCGTATGTATATGCGTTCCCATGTACATTGGCAAGTCTGTTACTCATTAGCCTTGTAGCTACTTCATTTTTAATGTGCCAAAGTACCATCTCTTACTTGGGGGTGGGGGTTATCCCGTATTTCAGAGTAGGAAGAAATGATGGTACTTCTTTTGCAGAATGGCTTAATTAGAGGCTTGAGGTTGTATTTTCCAGCAGCCGCCACTGCAGATTCAGCAGCATTTTCTTTCAAGACCTGCCGACGCCTTTTTAAGAAAAACCCTCCTTTGAAATCTTACTTAGATGCCTTGTATGTATCATCACCTTATGCTTTTAATTTACTATGGGCTTTTATATGGAAAGAGAATCCTGATTACTTACTTAAAAAAAAAATCAGAGGCAACCACTCCTGCTTCCAGACCTTCAATAGAAACTGAAAGGAAGGGTGGGGTTAATTTTGGTGATGCTTAGGATAGTGCTGCCAACATCTTGTGAGTGTGTGTGTGTGTGTGTGTGTGTTAAAAAGAGTAGAACACTGGCTTGCAACTCCACGGCTGTGGTTTCCATCACTTCCTTTTGTTCTTTTGCTCTGTGACATACGTATATTCACAGCGCTTGCTGCACATTGGAAACATGTAAAGCTCCCATTTCTTTCTTTTTAGGCCTCTTTATCTGCTTCCAGTCTATGTTGACAGTACTGGGCCATATGGGCCATATGGACCAAAGGTATGACTCAGCATAAGGCAGATTCCAATGTCCCCAGAACACACTTCAGAAATAACAGAGAAAGTGCTTACTTTGCTTTTCTGGATTCAGACCAGCATGCTGCTCAGGTGTGTTGGACTACACTTGAACTCAATTTGTTTATGTTGATTTTTATGTTGATATTTTGTTATAATTTATTTATATTGATATTTGTATTTTATTTATGTAAGCCATCCTGAGGCTTTTGCAATAGACGGCATATAAATATCACAAATAAATAAATAAACTATAACCCTATGAGTTATAGTTCAGCACAGCAAGAGATAATTAGGTTGGGGAATCCTGATAGAGACAATGTATTTTACCCCATGATTACTATGCAACCATGTACTTTGTACCTTTGGGTATTGCGGACACTTTGCTGGTCTTTTGAGTTGCAATGAAGTGTCTGGGTAAGCAGTTAAGGTTTGCCCCTACTTATTCCTTCTACCCATGATGTGTTTTCTAGATGTGAAATATCAATGCAGCATTAGAGCAATGTGTGATAGGACATTGGTCTTTGAGAAGTAGTACTAAAAGAAAAGGCTGCTTCATGCGGTTTCACTTTTATTAATTTTTAATGTGAATTAAAAAGTGGACATTTATCTTTCTAGGGTTGTAAGATCAGTATTTAGCTGTCAAATCTGCATTGTCTTTGTGGTAAATGTCATACAGAAGTAAATAATTTAACTGAACATAAGTGTCTGTAAATATTAAAGAACATTTTAATATTAACTTTATCCATACTGTAACCTCCATCCTAAAAGAGGCAACTGGATAAGTAAAGCATTAGTAATATAACGTTTCCAGCAGTTAGTAGACTTAGGTATACTTTTATTTAAAAGATATTGTGGTATCAAATAAACATAAAAGAGAAGTTTTTCTTGAATATGATGTAACCTAAGAGCCATAGACTCTTCTGGCACAGATGCAAAACCAATATTCTATTGATTAGTCAAAATGGCACCACCCAGTTCCCTATTCTATTCACCTTTAAGATTATGTGCATCTACATATTCACCAATTAATGTATACACATAAATTGTGAATCAACATACAGGAAGTCCCTGGGTTACAAACATCTGAGTTACAAATAATAAGTCAGCCTAACCTACCACACAAGACTGTTGTTCTGAGAATAAAATAAAACAATGTAGGCCTCCTTGACTACCTCACAAGAAGAAAAAGGCAGGGTATAAATTCAATGATAGCCAATAACGTGAATTTTGAGTGAAACAGTAACAGCCACCAACATAATAATTCTGTATTATAAACAATCATACCCAAATCTGTGAATAGTACCATTTTGTCTAATAGCACATGTGAGGGATGTCAAACATAAATTAATATAAATGGAAAAAGTAGACATCCTTGTCTATTATCTCTCTCCCAAGTATAAAAGAGGCTGAGAAACGACTAATTCGTCTTGACTCTAGTGAGTTGGGTGGGCGGAGGGGGCGGTTTAAATATGAAAATTCTGCAGAAAAGCGGAATTTTCTCAGCATAAATTTCCAGTGAACTTTGTCAAAGGCCTTTTCAGCATCTGAAGAAATAGTACCATCTTCCTCAGTTTTACTAGTATTTAAAGCAATCTTAGCTGCAACTAATCTAAGATTGTCAGCTCCTTGTCAATTCAGCTTGAAGAAGTGTAGTGATAACTTGTAATTTATCAGGCAAAATTACTGTCAGCATTTTAATATTGACATTATTTTCTTTAAATATCCTACACAAATCCACATAAAACTTGAAAAATTGTGGAAGTATATCTTAACAGGAAGTATGGTTCAAATCTTCCTAACCTTTAATGGTAAAAATAATACTTTGTTTGTTCTGCTTTAAAATGTGCCAAACTCTTACTAGGAAGCCCACTATTTTCTTGCTGCAAGCTGGTTAAAGCAGATTCCTGCCATGAAATGATATTGTTCCATTCATGTTTAACGTTCTGTAGCTCTAAGTAAAGTTGTGCAGTTGGAGAAATTGTATACTGAGTTATGAGATCTCAACTTCTCATTCAAAGATATTGGTTGCATTTTTAATTTTTTATAGGAAGCATAAGCAATAATACGGTCCTATATAGAAGCTTTATATCGGCCTCTCATCTGTATCATCTGTACTTTCATTGATTTTAAAATACTCAGTTAATTCTGCAAAATGGCTTTTTAAAGTATCTAATCAGTTCGAAGAAAACCATCCAAGTGTCAGAGAATCAGGGGCTTAGGAGAATCTGAAAATACAAATGGCAGACAGACTGGGCTGATGCTACCAAATTTATGTAATGTAGCAACAATGTAGAAAACAAAAAAATAAAATAAAAATCTAATCAAATCCATTGTGATGAAGAGACAAAATAACTCCCTTTCATAAGGATGCAAAGCATTCAAAGTGTCCATCAAGCAAATTCAATCACATATGCTTCTTAGGGATGGTGCATTTCTGTCCAACAAATGATCTAGAAACTCATTAAAGCACCATTCCACAATCAAATCACCACAACCAGCACACTGAAACATTCATGAATTGTAACTGGAACGTCATTATTTAGGCCCATA